AAAAAAAAAGAAATAAGGAACTGATAATAAGTTGAGTCATCATGGGCTCTTCACGACCAAGAATGAAGTTGTTGTTTCATCGATTGATCAAACTTATTTCTGCTTTTGTATCCAACGTAAACTTTTGATCAAGGTCTCAAAATTTCGATGCGTAGCCAGCAAAAGTAATGCTCGACTATTTGAGACTTTCTTAAAGATTGCATTTATTCGAGTGTATGGTGTCAATTGTCTATGTAGCTGTCGCCACGCCCATTGAAAACGAGAGCAGTTGGGGTGTTACCGGAGTTGACCCACTGGGATGATTGACCTGCAGTTTCTCCTAGCTATCAGAGCTCAGAGAAAGCTGCGTTATGGGGATTTTCTGAACATTTATGATTATTGCATCTGTTTCATGCAACCAGTAAATAATCTCATCTTCGGCCTTTCCTTTCCTTTTTTCAGTGTTAGTAAAATAAAAGTGTGGAAGATCTTGAGAATGTTTTGGATCATAATATCCCCTATTCTCTTAATAGTCATTACGTTGCTTCATCAAAGGTAATCTCATACCTAAATTTGGTGACTACCTTTATAGTTTGATGAATCTTTCTCTTCCGTCAGTGATCTGCAGTTTCGCAAACTCGTCGCCTTTGCACTTGATATCGTCTAAGTTAACAAATTTTTATCAAAATTCAATATTCTAAGATTTATCTGAACGTTATTTTGGAAATGTCAGATTCAACGGTTGGTTTTAAGTACGACGATAGTTTATTGTCAAATTAAGCAATTCTAGTCGCTCGGAGAAGTGTCATACATCACCAGAGAAACGACATAAAAAGCTAACGGAGACAACTTTGAACTCACGACCCAATCTATAACGCGCCAAGCATGATGACATCGTAGAACTTTTGATAGCACAGCGTCAGCCAAGATTAAGGAAGTGTCATGGCAAAAGTAAGGATTTTGAGTAATCATCAGCTGATGAAAGCGACTCTCTGCTTAGCTGTTCTCTGGATTCAGGAATGCCTACTTGTCGCGAAGCGGGAAATTCGCTCCAAAACTTTAGGCGCCTGAGCGTGCCCTTTCACGTATCTCCGCACTCATGACGTTTCGGGACCAGAAATCGAATAATAGTTCCTCTGCCACTCTTCCCCTTCAATCCAAGAAGGGCCCAAAACCTCTGTTTTTTCTAAATTTCTCGGTAATTGAAGTCGCTATTTATGTTCAGCACTAATATGATGCAGAAAAAGTGGAAAACCCAGAATTCAAGACTAGCCCGGCACTGCTTTCAAGTGAGCTGAGTACCCTTCCAGTTAATTGACCACTACGAGAGATATAAGAGTACAGCGATTAATACCTTGTTCTGAAAATACTCTCATAAGCTTCCTATAAATTTGAATTTCGCTGAAGTTCTACGACGTGAAGATCCGGTACTTACATTTGACCAGACGTAATGATGAATACATTAGGTTTCTCGACAAATTTTACGCGTGTTTGCAGTAGAACTTAATACTCGTTGATTTTTTTTTGTATCCAGCATATCCATTACCCTGTGTAGCGCTTGCGGTTGGCGGCCCGCGGCTTGCGCAAGATATCGTATCTTGATTGCCAATTTTTTCCTTTAGTAATGAAAGCCAGGTTAACACCTGTACGCTAGAAAGGTCTTCAATGAGTGAACCCGCGCAATTCTTTTAAAAAAAACGCTCATCTCTTAAATCGCGTCAGTAAGACTTCTTATTCCCTGGCATGGTTACCGAAAGTACCGCCGTAACACTTATGAAAATATGATTATTTTCTTTTTAACAAATTATCCAAATTAACAGAACACTTTCACAATGAATATAAAATTCTTCCGAAAGAATGTTAGAGTTCTCTTGGTCCGTTCCTATGTCATTTGGTACAAGTGGAAATCGTACCACTTTGCTTCATAATCAATTTGGACCTTTCTCTTTGAAGTGTTTCTTAGTTCAAAAGTTTTGACGCTTCACATCGTTTTTGACAGAACAATCGTCATGGCTTGAATAGTCGAAGAGGCGATGTTGCTGTAGATGATTCTTCATGTTTTGTTCTGATCACACCAACCTGAGCGCGGATCTGACAAAATAGTCTTTGTAAGTGATAGTCTAGTGATCTTCCACAATTCAAGGTAAGGGCTGCGTGATGGTGTTAATGGACGGTGTAGTTTTTGTTCGCTCAATAGTTTACTATGTGTAAGACATAAAAAATGTTCCAAAGAAGAAGCTGTCGTATAGTCATGAAGAGTTGAGAAAAAGCATATATGTTTGCTTTGGAAATGATTGGAAATAGAAGTGAAGGCAAGATGTAATCTTGGATTGCTGTTATTACGAAGCTCCTTCCTTTCCATAACGCTAGAAAGCGATGATTCAAGCGGGCGCCGTATTTTTGAATGTGTATCAAAACTTGAAAAAATTGTGAGAAATAAGCATACTTGCACAGCAGAATAGACATGCAACACTTGAAAAAATTAATTTTAGTCGAAGTGAACTCAGCAGTAACCCTACACATTTCACAATAATCTGTCCACAAATGATAACGTTCAGGGGGATTTGATGTTACATCAGGACATTGCTTTCATGAGCAAGCTCATCCTTCATTGCAAAACCCCCGCGGCATCGTAATGAAATAATGGTAGCTAATTCAAATAAACTTTATCAAACTGACTTTCACTGCTATCTGAGACTTTACAAAGACCTAACTAACCATTGAGAAACGAAGACGAGACATAATTGCTCTGAACTTGCACAGAATCTTTAATGTTCCGGCTCCAAAAAGAAATTAACATGCTCGAACTCAGCGACTTGTTATTATCATTTCCTGCAAGTCTGAGGAGTGCTATCTTTGTATTGAGTGACAATGACAACTTTAGAAGTTTTCTGTATCATTAGGTTATAATACTTCAAGAAGTGATTTTTATTTTCTATTTTGAGTATGCTTTCCACACGATCCAATCGTTGACATTATGGTTCCGCAGTGACTGTATATCTTCAGGTAGCAGCCCAATGGATAATTCCAGAACATTCCTCATGAATGCCAAGCAATCGGAGGTCACGTGGCTTACTTAGATAATCAGATGGCTTGTCGTCACTTGTCGTGCAGGCTCCAGCATTGTTTCCATCCGTTTCTGTCTCTCACTAGCGTCATCCACAATGTTGGTATTGAACTGCCTCGACGTTCGCGAGGTCCAGATCCATCACTCTTACCAGCTGAGAATTCAGCTGGGTCCATTCGCATAACACGTCAGCCTATCTGGACGCTGATATCCCTCGAAGACGTTTTGCTTCGCTAGGGCTACATTCCAGAGTCTTGGTGTCCATGTCGTTTGTCCTTCCCATCATATGACCAGCTCATCGATGTTCCGCCTCAAAGATGTACTCCGTTGGATTTGGATCGAGAAGACGAGACATCATCTCATATCTGGACAGCGAAGTCCGACGAGATGTAGTGCGTCAGGTGTATATTAGAAGACGTCGCTAACGCGCTCAGTGCGTTGTTGGAGGGTCTTCGACGCAGCCAAGATATCAGTTCACGTCTCTGCTACGTAACAGGACGCAGAAAGAACGGTTGAATTGAAGGTGAGATTGGAGCTTTCGCCATCAGCTGGTCTATGGCATCCTTTAGAAGCCCAAAGGCGGCCTAAGCTGCTCTTCGCCTCCTGTTTGGTTCCTGTTTTATATCTCCATGCTCATCTTACGCCCGAGATTTACATAAGAAGACGTTGATTGTAGAGCCTTCTAACTCCATTTCTTGATCCTCGCAAAAAGCGTTCTTCAGAAGTCTTCTTCCGACTCGCAGTCCTATCCGCTTCCCTATTTCGTTTAGTTCTTTCAACATCGTCTTCACTTCAGTGATATTCGTCGAGGAGAGGACAACGCGGTCCGCAAAAGGACTTAAGAATCTCACATCAATTCGTATGCCTCTCTGGTTCCAGTCCGTGTCATCACCCATTGCAAGGCGGCAGTAAAAAGTTTGGCGACATGGTGGCACTGTCGATCGCCTTCGAAATTTGTGTATGAAAGGGGTAATGGAAAAGCTATACCGTTTTAGAGCAGTCTTGTAGCAGTTGGCTATTCTCACGTAAGATTGCCCATCCATTGGTCGACGAGCGCTGACAGTATGGCATCAGCTCGACGCTGTCAAACGCTTTCTTATGGTCGACGAAGGTCAGGACGAGGGATAGGTGGTACTTTCGGCAAACTTCGATAATCCGCGAAACCGTCTGGATGTGATCCACGCAGCTGAATCTTTTACAGCCACCTTGTTCTAAAAGTTGGGCATTATCCATTCTTGATATGCGAGTGAGAATAATATTCGTGAACGGCTTGTAAAGCACGCGCAGCAATATTGGACGGTAGTTCCGAAGATCCTCCCTATCGCCTTTTTTATGAAGGAGGATTCTTCGGGAGGTTCTCCAGTGAGTCCTTTCCTTTTGAATAAGACGTTGAATGTGTCGCAAGTATCTCATGTAGGCGATGTCCTCCAGCTCGTGAGAAGTCGGCCGAAACGCGGTTCCCGGAGCCGCCTTCACAGTCTGGATTGCTACGCGTACTTTAAAGATTCCGTGGTGATATTTCTCCGGTAGGAATAAGCTTCTCTAGTAGTAGCTTGACACTTGAGGGTATCTATAAACAGAAGAGAGCGATAAAATCTCTTCGTGATCGATTCCATCTTCTGTCGGGGTGATGTTTAAGTCCCGTCTTTTCGTTTAGTAATGTTGTCAGCGGAACACGGTATTCGGGAGGGTGTATGCGATACTACTTCTCCTTCTTTGTGTTACTTCCAAAAGTTCCGATTGCTTGTACTTTCAAAGATCTTCTTGCAAAGCTGTTCCGCAACTGGTATTGCTACCATTCTCTCAAGATGTGATTTAGTCGTATCCAACTTCAGTGCTCTACTCCTCTCTAGCAGATCCTTGGTGGCTTTCGAAACGTTGATCGAGGTATTGAGGCACTTTCACCTCAGTCCTCTAAGGAGCATGCCGTAGTCTTTCGTTGGGTCCTCCTCGATGGGCCGGTCACAAGTGGTCAGGGGTTCCTTCAATTTGGCGCCGTCATATACGACTTCTCCCCTTCTTCCAACACGGTGGCAGATCTTCTTTTCCAGCTTTCGGCTGAATCGCACTTTTGCTCCAAGGAGGCGGTGAT